TGGTGGGCGGCAGGAGTTTGCTGTAATTCTGCTTTATAAATTTTATAAAGTAAAGTTACTTCCCTACTTTATAAATCACATTACTGAGGAACTGGTTGGGCGGTTAGAAAATTTTACTACTAACAGAGATACAAAAGTGGGCAGTAGGTATAAAAAGGTTGACTACCCCTGCTCTATACTATATTCCAAATCTTTCATTTTTCTAGTTTTGAATACTGTACATTATTTAAGAGAATATTTGAGTAGTTGGTGTGGTTACGGCCTCTATAACCTTATATTTATATGAGCCAGTTATTTCAGAGATTGTCCATTTCAGTGTTATCTGCCTGGCCTGTTTGGACTGATAGGATGGGTGTATTTTGAGTCCCTCATTTTTCCAGATGGATGCCTTCTCATTGTGGTTCTTGTCCTTTGAAGTGTGCTTCCTCTTGAAATCTGGGTGGCTCCCTTTTTAATGGCATTCTGGAGGCCTTAAATACCTACCTCTTGTCCTCCTAGGCTTTGGGCTAGAATGGATGGAGCTCCTGCGAGTGTGTGATTTCTGCTTTTGTGTTGTCTGGATTTGCCATCAGGTTATTGGTTCATGTAGATTGTTATTTTTATATTATACTAGCTCAGTGGTTCCCAAACTTGGCAACTTTAAGACTTGTGGACTTCAACTCCCAGAATTTTCCAGCCAGCTCTGCTCTGCTGGCTGGAGAATTCTGGAGTTGAAGTCCACAAGTCTTAAAGTTGCCAAGTTTGGGAACCACTGTACTAGCTGATAACCCGGCGTCCCCCAGGTATTTATTTATCCCAATCCTTGTATTAGATAGGAAAAAGAATGAATTATGTGGCAATGTAAGTGCGGAAAGGGCTGTCCTCCCTCCTTCCATTAACCTCATCATAATTCCTGAAGAGGTGATGGCAAGAGCAACTTCTCCCTGAGCCCCGATTTCAACGACAGTTAAATTAGTTACAAATGTTTTTTCTGTGCCCCCAGAAGCATCAAGAACAATGATACCACCCTATTGTTTTGCTAGCTAGTCCATGATCATTTGATACGCTTTTTTCTGATTTTGATTTAGAAGTGGGTTCTTGTCCGCAATATATGTATAAGTATAATCTTTATTGTCATTGTACTTAAAAACAACGAAATTGGTTACTAAGCTGTTTGATGTTGTAGTTCTTTTCTTGTATGTAATCTGCGTGAAGTATGTTGTGTCGGTCTCCTAGTGGTGCAAGCAGGCTGAGTTGCAGTAATGTTTTATTGATCATGACCATACATTTGTCCTCAAGAGTAATCAAAACCTTGTTGAAAATGTCCGGACCAAATGTAATTTCTAATGTTGGAGTTTCCCCCTTACCAGAGGGAGCCCCCTTGTGGAGTATTATGAAGCCATTACCATGGTGACTCCACTGCGCTATACAGTAGAAGCCATTTTACGGCAATACAGTAGAAGCCATTTTAAGGCACAACAGGCTGTATCTTAACACACACCCCGAGGGGTATTAGGAGTGTCTTACCTCCACAGTAATTTTTTTCCTGGGAGTACCAAGTTTGGTTGAAATTACCCGAGGCGTTCTAGAGTAATGCTGGAATACACACCACCAGCCATTTCTCTCTCTGTCTCTGTCTCTGTCTCTGTCTCTCTCTCTGTCTCTCTCTCTCTCTCTCTCTCTCTCTCTCTCTCTCTCTCTCAGTTCAGTTCAATTTATTGGTCTTGTATGCCGCCCACTCCCGAAGGACTCCAGGCGGCTTACAATAAACAAGGGAAGGGGAT